GGCCAGCGACAGGCGCGCCAGGCACTCGAGGCAGAAGACGTGGCCGCAGTCCAGGCGCTTGGGCAGCTTGAAGACGCTGTCAAAGGGCGACACGCAGATGAGGCACTCCACGGGCGACGCGGGCGTCAGCATGGGGCCGGAGGCCGTGCTGGCGTCCTCTCCGTCGTCCTCGTCCCCCCTCTCCGAGGAGCCGGGGCCCGAGGCCTGGGGGACCCGGGGGCGGCGGAGCCAGGGCGGCCTTGGGCAGGGCATCCGGACCTGCGGGGAGGCGCGGTCAGGCGGGCAGGAGGCGGCGGTGGCATGGTGGGGCAGGCAAGAGACTCAGGACCGAGCCGGGCGGACCCCGGCGGCAATGCTGGGAACCAGAGCCGAACGCGGGGGCGAAGCCAAGGGGGCGCAGGGCTGGGGAGGATAGGGGCAGGGCCCTCCGGTCAGAAGCAGAGAAGGGAGGTGCGTATCTGATACGGGGGCTCCAGGGCGGGCCAGCACTGGGTGGTAGGGCGTGTTAGGAAGAGGACTGGACACGAGGCTGGATCGTGGGCTGGACCAGACCCAGAGGACTGCATTTCCAGACCCTCGGAAGGGTCTACACTGGGAGGTGGGAGATGCGGGCAGGGGCAGGCTGCAGTGACTCCAGCCAGGACCCCAGACCGGGAGGAGTAGATAGGGACTGCAGAGAGCAGAAACACGGGGTGCGGGAGAGAGGCCCATGGATGTCCCAGGGGACAAGCAGTCATTAAGACGGACACCACAACAGGACAAGCGGTGAGGCAGCCTAGGGTTAACTAGGGAGGTCAGGGCTCCTGCCTTTGCAGTGGCAAAGCCCAGAGCTGGATGGCCTTTCCTACCTGTTAGTGCACCTGCTTCCTCTGGCCAGTGGTGTGTCCCTACCCCGTCTGACCCCAATCCAGGGTAGACTGGTGGCTGGGAGCCACAGAGCCCTTCCCCATGAGGCGGGTGTGTGGTTTGGAGCCGCCCCCTTCCCAGGGACCCTGCCAGACTTGTCCAACCACCTGCCCCGCCTCCTGGGCTAGTCCTACCAGGAGGGCAAAGCTCATGCCAGATCTCCGGATGGCGGAGGCGGATCACCTATGACAGGGCAGTCATGGTGCAAAAGCCTCAGGTGGGTGGGCCCCTTGCCTCAACATCAAGAACCCTTCTGATAAACCCTGCTGCTGAAGCCACCACCTGTCAGGCCCTGTGCATCTATAGGTGGCTGCTGGTAGAGGGGCAACCGGTAGAGGCAGGACACCTCCATCAGGGCTGGGGAGGCACAACCTGCAGCCCTCGGCATCCTAGTCAGTGAGGTGTCCCCACACCTATGGCTCACCTATTCTGAGCGCACAGAGCTTTTGAAGCGTCAGGCAGAAGTGAATAGCTACATAGGGACCAGGACACGTTCATGCAAGGACTGGTGATGTTTGTGGTCAACACTCCATCTCCTTGGAGCGGCATCCAGGTATAATGTGCCTTTCAGCCACCCAGGACACAAGTCACTTCTGCCCTACAACCTTAGAGACTACAGATGATTGGGGCTCTGGTTTGCCACCACTGACCTCCAGCTCTCATTACCATCACCCACTGGGAACAGTTGTGGCAGCCAGGCCTGCGCTCCGATGCCCACCTGCCAGCCTGAGGGCCCCAAGAAGCCTTGGATCTGAGTCAGCCGGTGCTTCCTGAACCCCAGGTGGTTTCCCAGTATATTCAGATCCACGCAGCCTGGCAGATATGCCAGGAACGAGAGCAGACAGGTGGATACCTGGGTGGTAATGCCCCCACCAGGACCCACTGAAAGGACAGACAACCGACACAGGTGGGAAGGGCTGCCCAAAGGGGCTGATAGGTTTATTGGGCCACAGCCAGATCAGCGGTTGGACTTGGCCACACGCTCAAGCTCGTCCTTCTTCTTAATGGCATAGGAGTTGGAGGAGCCCTGGGAAGAGGCAACTGGTGAGTTCTGAATGCCAGAGACACGCCCCCCCAGACCCACCCTAAGACCCATACTGTCTCCACCCTGCCCACCTTGGCTGCATTGATAAGCTCATCCGCCAGGCACTCAGCAATGGTCTTGATGTTCCGGAAGGCAGCCTCACGGGCACCTGTGCACAGCAGCCAAATGGCCTAAAGAGCATGGAGAAAGGTTAGGCTTGAGGCATGGGCATCCCAGCAGGGAGCACCGTGGTCCTCTGGGACCCTAGCTCCCAGAGGACACACACTGGAAGCCCACAGTGCCACCAGGTGGTGTCTTGCCAAATGCCATCATGAGCAGACCTGCCCAAAGCAGACCCATCAGGCTGCGCTCTCTGGCCTCAGGGTGCACACACACATAGGGTCTGAGGATGGGTCCCTGATTGACAGATGAGAAAACACAAAGTCTCAGACCAGACACTTGATGGAAAAGCAGCAGCTATGCATGAACATGGCTAAACACTAACTAGATCCTTTACAGCTGTTAAATTCCTGGATGACGACAACTCTGATGGAAAAATGTCCTTTGTACAGAGTCTGGTGAAACCCCTGAGACTATGGCCCCTCGTTGCCCTTCAGGTCTGGAATTGAACCCACTCCTGTGGCTTCCAGCCAAACTAAAGACAGACATATGAGCTGAACATTTAGCTCTGGTAGCGTAGTGGCTAAAGCACTTGACTGCTAACTGGAAGGCTGGCAGTTCAAACCCACCAGCCACTCCTCGGAAGGAAGGTTGGGCAATCCTACTTCCTTAGTGATACTGCCTCGGAAACCCAAGGAGGGGTCGCTATGAGTCGGGGCCGACTCGACGGCACATAACAACAACAACAAGATACAATCACAATCCTTGGAGAGATCAATCAATCACGGGAGAACAGAAGGGCTATGTATACACAGGGAGACAATTCAGGGGGCAGGAGTGCATGGGAAGGATGGACACAGGGCAGAGGTGGCTACGGGGAGGAAATTGCAGTGTCATGAGACAAAATGTGTATGAACTGCTGTATGAAAAATGAATTTACTCTGTAAACTTTCACCCAAATTGCAATTAAAAAATCCTTAAAAAATAGTTCTTTGTCCTTCACAGACACTTGCTGAAGTATTTAGGAAATGGCACAATGTCTCAAATGGTTCAAGAAAAAAAAAGAATACATGTACATAATCCCACTGCCACCAGTTCAATTCTGATTCAGAACACAGAACTGCCCCATAGGGTCTCCAAGGCTGTAATCTTTTTCCCAGAGCAGCTAGTGGGTTTGAACTGCCTACCTGTTGGTTAGCAGCTGTGTAGTTAACTACTGTGCCACTAGAGCTCCTACACACATAAAAAGAGTGGAAAAACAAAGACACATTCGGCACCTTAGTCAAATGTGGCCCAGAGCTGGGATATGCTCGTGTAGGTGGACAGCTTCTTAGAGGAAGTGATGCTCCAACTAAAACATGCAGGCAGGGAGAAGCTTCACACACACCAGACAGGTCTCCGTCCACTCCAGGTGGCTGCTCCTGCCCTGCCCATGTTCTATGGCCCCCAGCCCACCTGGTTTACACGGCGCAGTGGTGACACGTCCACGGCTTGTCGCCTCACTGTCCCGGCTCGCCCAATGCGTGTTGAGTCCTCCCGGGGGCCACTGTTGATGATGGCGTTCACCAGGACCTGCAAAGGGTTCTGGAAGAGGGGAGAGCCTTGAGTGCCAGGCTAAACCACATGGGCACAGGTATCTGATGACCAGCCCCACATCCCCCTGTCTCTTTAGTACTCAAACGGGGACAACCCTACTGCACAGAGGACAGAGCTTGGCATCCACACAGCAAAGCAGCTGCTGGCTTTGGAGTGTGCCAAGGACACTAGTATCCGGCCACATGGTGCTACCTCGCCCGTGAGCAGGTGGATGATCTCAAAGGCATGCTTGACGATGCGCACGGTCATGAGCTTCTTGCCGTTGTTGCGGCCGTGCATCATCATGGAGTTGGTGAGGCGCTCCACGATAGGGCACTGTGCCTTGCGGAAACGCTTGGCTGCATAGCGCCCTGCACTGTGGGGAAGGTACTTGGCATACTTCTCCTTCACCGCGATGTAGTCCTGTGGAAAACATGGGGGAAATGGTCAGGTGAGGGACAGGTCCTGACTGAAAACTAGGGTGCACGTAACGGACTCCTCATCTGCCTGTCATCTGGGCTGAGTCCCTGGGGGACGTGGTTATAAAGCTCACTTGCCATGAAAAAATAAACCATCACCACCAGGAAGGACTGGCCCGGGACCCTATTCCCCCAACTCCAAGTGAGGCACTGGAAGCCCACAGTGCCACCCAATTGGTGTCCTGCGGAAGCAAACTCGCCCACATCAGCTGTGTGTACTCAACGTCATTCTTTCACCCACATGTAAGAACATACACAAAGAACCTCTTTCTAGAAATCAGAGAAACAGCAGGAAAGACACCCGCATGACAGGTTCACTGTCTACCGTGGCAATACCTACACAAACAGGAAAAGACAAAGTGAGTGTGCAGAAAAAAAATCACAAACACAAAACGTACAACAACGTGTATATAAGAGTATTCCCTGCTAGGGCTCTTCAGGCCAACTGATTTCCCACAAGGATGCCAGTAAGGGAAAGAACAGGGATTTCAACAAATGGTGCTGGGACAACGGGATATCCACGTGCAAGAGAATGAAGCTGGACCCTATGTTAGGTATAAACAGAGTACGTGTGATGTGACGTTCCTCATGGGAAAAAAAAAACATCTCACAGAGAAACCGGTTGCGACCCCCAGCAGGACACAAAGACTAATGGATATGGAGGACGTGGGTGGTCAACGATTTCCTGCTTTAGCTGAACAGAACCACCACAAGTAAAGTGACCCCCCTGGAATAATCCACATCTAAATCAGCCACCAGTTATCTCAGCGCCAAGTGGTGGCCAGCACTGCCAATGCCTCCGCCTTCTTGCCACGAGGATATCTGTGCAGCCTCTCCCCCTGACCTTTTTTTTTTTTTAAATATTGCGATTTGGATGAATGTTTTCCACACAGCAGCTCACACACACTGTCTCATGACATTGACTGCAATTTCCTACAATGTAACAGTTCCCTTCCCACTTCCTCCCCATAGCCACTTCTTCCCTGTATCCTTCCCTCCCGTGCACTCCTGCACCCTGAGCTGTCTCCCGATACATACACAGCCTTTTTATCCTCCCAAAATTGATCTCTCCAAGAAGTGTATCTATCAAATGTAAATGTTTAGTTCATATACCTGTCTTTTGTTTGGCTGGAAGCCACAGGAGTGGGTTCAATTCCAGACCTGAAGGGCAGCTAGGGGCCATAGTCTCAGGGGTTCCACCAGGCTCTATCAGACCAGAAAACTGGTCCTTCTTTTTATGATTTTGAGTTTTGTTCCACACTGTTCTCCCACTCTATCCAGGATCTCTTACACAGATCCCCCTTTGAGTGGTTGACAGTGGTAGCTGGGTACCATCTAGTTCTTCTGGTCTCATAGTCATATAAACTGAGGATTGCATGGTGTACCAGTCCCTTGGAATAATTATTTCCATGTCTTTGGTTTTTTTCGTTCTTCTTTGCTCTGGATAAGTTGAGACCCATCGTTGCGTCTAGATGGCCACTTGCCCGCTTTTAAGACCATAGTTGCTACTCGCCAACATAGGATGTGGAACAATGTCTTGTGGAACAATGGCATGTTATGCCAACTGAGCTTGACATCCCCTGCAACCATGGTCCTGAGCCCAGTGGTCCAACTACTTGCTCCCTCTGGATAGCTGGCTGTGGCCAAGAAGTGACCACAAGTTTGTCCCTTGTCAGCTCTACTACATACTTGAAAATTCTTACAGAACATACAAATACATTTAGAGAAACATTGTCTGCCAACCCTATACATGGTCATGGGCACATTTCCCCTGCATAGACATACCTAATAGTTTAGCCTGTCCACCCATCTATCCACTCGTTTATCAATGTTTGCCATTACTGACAACGCAGTACTGTATGCGCAAAAGCTACCCTTTGCTCTTGTGAAAAGCTCTTAAGTTGCCCACTCCGTCTCAGGGTTCCTGAATGGCTATCCACCACACACCTCACCTGCAGGGAAATGTCGTTGATCTGCACATCATCCGTGCTCCACTTCCCAAAGAGCTTGATGTCAGGGGTCTCTGCCACCGCAGGCGCGGCTATCTCCCACTCAGTCATCCTGGGTACTGGGGGCAGGTAGGAGGAAACCGTCACAGGCCAGCCAGCCTGGGGCACAGGTACATACAAGCCCAATTTCATCGGCCCCTACCCTAAGGCTGGCCCATGCTGTGGCAGACTGGGCCAATAAAGTACAAATGCATGGCTACTATGCATACACACTACCTACAGAATCTAACAAGAACTATAGTACAAAGCTGTGACCATCTGTGCCATCTTTTAAAGTCCTAGAAAAATCATCAGCTGTCTGCAAGCCATGCGTTGCTCACCAAGGACTCCTGGAGCCAAGAAATGGCAGGGACCAGTTCAACAGCCGCCACAGGTTAACACTTTAACGGCTAACTGGGTGATGCCAAACGTCCTGACCCCAAACCGGTTCAAATCCCCACCGTGCCATTTACCACCTGTAAGCCCAGGACTCAGTAAATCGCTTTTGACTCTGATTGCCCAAAAAATGGCAACATTATCTGCCACCCAGAATCACTGCGAATTCTGCGGCCTAACCAGAGCAAAGGGTTCGGTTCGGGACAGGTCCCAGGGAGACGCTCGGGGCTGCAGCTGCGTTTTGAGAAAACGTGTACAGAACAAAAAGCGCACCCTAGCTCTCAAAAGGCGGAAACCTGCTAAGTCGGTGGGCAAGAGCAGAGGCCAGGGTCTGGAGACGGTATCCCCCAAACGGACATCCCGCTCCCACTGCGTGGAAACGTTACAAAGGCGGCATAGCACTAGCAACGAGCCAGTGACTTTCCTGTGCCGCCGCCCGTTTCCTCTCCACCCTTCTTCCTGGGGACAAAGTGAGGTAGAATGACGGGAGGCCCAGATCTCGGAGCCCTCCTCGGGAGACTTTGAGTGGTCTCATGGTCCACTGACTAAGCGGCTGCCTCACCTATGGACGCAGCCGAGGAATTTCTCGCTCGGCGTGGAGTACACGCCGCCCGGGAACAGACAGGAAAAGGCCGCGCGCCGCGGGCCGCCGCTTTTAATGGCGGCGAACACTTCCGGGTCAGCCGAGCCGACGGACGCGTAAAAGAAACATCACGTACTCAGAGACCAATCCAGAACCAGGATGTAAAGGCGCCCTGGGAACCTGTCGGCGTGCTTAAACCTGTGGCGCATGCGCATGTCGGCAACCAGCCCTTCAACGTAGTAGAGGAAAGCTGACATCTTGTACTTGTCCGAGCGTGAGGCTGCTGCGCAAGCGCAAAGACCTCCTTGAAGCTACTGCCAGTATTTTTAGTGAGGGCAGAAGACGTGTGAGAGGTCTCTTCTTTGTTCAGCCGCTGGCTCCACACCCTACCCACCATACGTTTCGAACGGGACGGCCAGTTCGGCAGCCCCTCGCATTGTGTCCCGTCACGGCCGCCTCACCAGCACGCGCGCGCCGCGGGCCCGGGGCGGCCGAGCGGGATCTTGCGCCTACGCTCGCTCTCCACCGTTCCCAGAGTGCCATGCGCATGTGCGGACCTACACGCGCCCATTTTCCGCGCCGCCTGATCCTCGCTGGTCCTGCCCTGAGCCGCACAACACCACGGGCCCGCCGAGCAGCTGCAGGGCCGGGGCTCCTGCGGAGGGCTCCCTGTCCGGCTTGCCCTTTGCCCCACGACACGCTGGAGCTCCCCGGTGTTGCACCCACTCTCAGTGTCCGGGCTCGTGGAGGGAGGAGGGGTCAGGCGCCCGGAGGAGAGTCCCGAGGTCGCCGCGGTGGGAGCCGGATCTCAGGCCAGGGGCAGTGGGAGGGCTTCTCAGGGTGGAGCATCTAGTGGCTGCGGGCCTGGCCCTGGGAGAAGGCGCGGCCGTCAGGTTGGGGACCCTCTGCGGAGCGCCCCCTCCCTGGTCCCCCACGGGCGGGGACGCCCTGCGAAGGGCTGGCAGCAACTTGATCTCTGGGCGATGATTGCGCGATCTAGGAGTTTCCCGCAATCACAGTGTTTTCAGACCCCAGCTCCTGGGGCGAGGAAGGGGGTCAAGAAGCACAGGGCCAACTTTTTCCAGTAAAAGACATTTCATGCGTTTGAGTCCAAGGCCTGGAACAAGGAGGGACGGGAATGAAGGTCGGGAAATGGAGACTACTAGTTTCCTACCCATGAAACTGTCTTCCTCGAGGCTCTGACCCAAAGACCTCTCAGAGGGTTTGGGGTGTGGAAGAGGGAGGCCCGTCTACTTTGGAGATGGCTTCCCACTCTGTGCCTCAGTTTGCCCCTATATAGGGTCCTGCATACCTACCAGTCATCATGTCCTTTGCCCCAAACCATGGGGCTGTGCCTAGCAGAAGGCTTGACCGACAACTCTCTGTCTTTTCCGTCCACTGGGGTCTGAAGATCCTCGAGTTACTGGGCAGGTGCAGGGGGTTGGCATGGTGGTGAGTGCCCCTACCCACTCTGTGTCTCCATCTGGCGCCCCAGCACCTAGTGCAGACAGTATGGGCCGGGCTGTGACCCCAGCACCTGGTGTGGACAGTATGGGCCAGGCTGCGACCCCAGAACCTGGTGTGGACAGTGTGGGCCGGGCTGCGACCCCAGCACCTGGTGTGGACAGTATGGGCCGGACTTCGACCCCAGCACCTGGTGTGGACAGTATGGGCCGGACTTCGACCCCAGCACCTGGTGTGGACAGTATGGGCCGGACTTCGACCCCAGCACCTGGTGTGGACAGTATGGGCTGGGCTGCGACCCCAGCACCTGGTGTGGACAGTATGGGCCGGGCTGCGACCCTTTCCTACTCTACTTATGTCCAGGACCTCCTAGAACTGTAGCCAGGAGTTAGACTGAGACATAGAATTGTCTGACCGTTATAACTGCATAGAGGTGGCCTAGGGGTAATGTCAGGTAGGTGCTCTCTATGGCTGCTTGGGGCTTCCTACCCACCACCAAGCCTTCAAGGGGGCACCTAAAGGACCCAGCCATGAGATGCAGTGGGGCAGGACTGTCCCACATGGCTCTGGCTGGCCGGCCCCGCCAGTGGCACACCACACCTGTTAGAGGCAGAAGCCGAACATCATGGAGATTATGTTAGAATCAGGACCCAGCCAAGTGGATACATACTTCTTGGGATATAATTCATTCCATAACCAGAGTGGCGGAGAACCAACAGATCGGTTGGGTGTAGGACGCAGGGCTGCCTGATCCCCTTAAGATTTTCCCTCACCCAGCCACTGCTTCCCATCTGCAAATTGGGTGACAGCAGTGCCCTCGTGTTTGTGACACCCAGAAGGAATCTTCTCTGTACCCAAGAATCTGATGGGCAACCTTCCCTGCAGGAAGCCTGCTCTTTCCTGTGGCCATGTCCAGCTTCCAACAAAGGGTGCTCTCCAGGGGGCTGTCTCCTCAGAGCTGCTGATGGGAAGCCCAGCTTGGTGTTCTGCTGTGCAGCTGGCTACAAGCTAACTTTGTAAAGCTAGAGATTTTGTTTTCCTTGTTACAAAAGTATTGTTTACACACACATCTGTGTCCCAAGCAGTGCCACTGCTGTGGCCAGGATCCATGTGATGTCCTAGATGGGGGGGGGGGGGGGGTTCCAAGCAGTGCCACTGCTGTGGCCAGGATCCATGTGATGTCCTAGATGGGGGGGGGGGGGTTCTCCCAGGTTGCCCTTGGGCAGAGGCCCAGGCACTCTGAGGAGAGGTTCCTGCAGTGGGTGCATTCCCTGCTTTTTAAAAATCAAGGTAGAATTTACATAACAAACTTAGCCACTTTATAGTATACAATTTGGAGTGGGTTTTAGTGGAATTTTTAGTAACATTGTAGATTGTAGTATATTCAGAGGTGTACAACCACCTGCCCTATCTAATTTCAGAACATTTCCATCATCTCAGAAAGAAACTCTTAGCAATTAGTTGTCACTCCCCATCTCCCACCCTTACCCCAAAAAACAAACCCACTGCCATTGAGTCGATTCTGACTCATAGTGACCCATAGGGTTTCTAAAGCTGCTAGTTCCAAAGGCAGACTGCCTTATTTTTCTCCCACAGAGTGGCTACTGCCGACCTTTGGGTTGGCAGTCCAATGTTTTCACCACTATGTCACTGGAGTGCCTACTCCCACCCCGTAGTCAACCACTGATCTACTTTCTGTCTCTGTGGATTTGCCTGTCGCGCCATTTCATATAAATGGAATCACACAAAATATGTAACTGGTTTCTTTCACTTAGCATAGGGTTTTAAAAGCCCAGCAATGACACAGCACATATCCAAACTCAACCCAACCCACTGCCATTGAGTGGATTCTGACTTAGTGACTCCTGTTAGGTTTCCAAGGTGGTAAATCTTTGCGGAAGTAGATTGCCCCATCTGCCTTCTGAGGAGCTGCCCATGGGTTTGAACCACTAACCTGGTTAGCGGTCAGATACCTTAGGCATGGCACCACCAGAGCTTCTTGTACCATGTATCAGTACTTTGTTTTTATGCTGAGTAATATGTCATGGTATGGGTATTTTGTTTATCGATTTGGATTGTTTATCCATTTGAATTTGTTTATCCAGTTGAACTGATGTATGAGTTTTGGCAAGGGCATAGGTTTTCAGTTCAGTATGTACCCAGGAGTGGGACTGGTGGGTTATATGGTAATTCTGCATCAGTTTTTGAGGGCCTTGGGCACTTACGGGGAATTGACAAAGGAGAATGCTGAGGCTCATGGGAGACAGGTTTCTCGCTGGTGGAGGAAGTCACAGAGGTAACTGGGTCCGCTCATGGGTGGGCCCTTCCCACTAGCCCCTCCCTGCATGGGGCACACACAGCTGAGTGATGCTCCCATTTGGTGGTTACAGCTACGCTTGGCCAAGCCCCTTCTCAGATGTAAGTGCTTGGAACTGGCCAGCCAGGGTGCTCCAGCAGCTGGCAGGGAAGGCAAGCTGATGTTGGGGAGCAGAGAGACCACTGGGGGGCTGTTCTCTGGGGTCTGGGTGGCACCCAGGTCATGGCAGTGGCCATGAAGAGGAGCAGGAAGGCGCCCACTTCCACATTCTCATCCCACGGCTGACTGTCACTTGCTTTCCCAGGGCTGAGGTGTG